TCTTAATATAGATTTCTTCCCCGAAAGGTTCTGGTTACACTTGTGCTTGTATCAAAATAACTGAGCCAGGGGGATGAGATGTGAGTGGCAACTGTGGGCTCTTCAGCTTGGCACTGCTCCTTGTGTTACAGTCTCCAACTTAAAAATCCTCTCCCTTTCCACACACACARCAAAAACCAGACAAACAAACATAAAGAGATGTTAGGAGCTTCAATTTTCAGCTTGTCATTTAAGATTCTGTATTTTATTAAAAAGCAGGGAAGTTCTTCCAAAGGAGAGTTCTTCTGAAGGCATCACTGGGTTATTCTCAGGATTTTTATGCTTGCCTGTTCACTTGATTAATATTCTATAAAACATTTTCTAATTCACCAGGTATTTTCTACTACAGAAACTCATTGATGAGTGGAGATAAGAAGTTTGTACTTAATGGGTCAACTGCACTAGCAGAAAAGGTTATGGRTATAAATCAAGGGAAAAACAACTCATATTTGGAGTTCTGAAAAGGCCCATAAAACATATGCAACAAACAAAAGGAGGGAAACAGAACTCAAAACAGGAAGGCGGCATTGTTCACTATTTCAACAAAGGAAATGAGGAAAACCSAAAACTTTAATAAGCAACAGGTCCATTCTAAACTGTGTGTTATTTACACTGGATTGGGATTTTGATATATTAGGAGGCAAACAACAAACCAAAGTGGTCAAGGGCAGAAGCCTTTGCAGATAYAGGTTAATTCACTTGTTCCATCAAGTCACACTCCGTGGTTTGCTTTCTGAACACAGGAGATCAATACCCAGGCTTCGTCCCTCCTCCAAGCGACTCAACACTTGACCTGTGTGAAGGTGCTGCTAATGCCGACACGGGGATCTGCCATCTCTTTAAGTCCTGCGACATTAACCGGGGTGACGTTTCGTTCTTGTTAGACRCACTGTGCAAGAGCTTTTCACGAGAAACAGACCCAAAAACACAATGAAGGGGCAAGTAACTTCAGACCATGTTAGACACGAGTCACAGTGGGAGACACGCAGCAGGTGACTCCCTCGTGCCCTTTCCTTGCAAAATACTGAAAACCGGCAGCTCTGGAGGGCCCTGCCTGCGCCGGGGGGATGCGGGGTCTGGCTGCGCGGAGCACCGGCCGCTCCCGCGGAGCAGGGCGGCCCGCGCGGCACCCCCGGCTGCCTGGGAGGCCTTTACCCCAATACGCAGGGCGCGGAGTCACCGCCCTGGGGGGAAAACACGCGCTCTTGCTTTTAACAACCGCCCTGAGGGAGGTTCTCGGCACAAGGCGCTTCCTGCAGCGGCTCGGAGGGCTGGTGGCAGCCGCTCCCGCCTCGCGGCCCGGCCAACCGCCCTTATCGGCAGCGCCCAGGCGGCCCCGCGCCCGCCCTGCCCCCGGCTCCGC